GGGGGTCAGAGTGCGCCGATTGTTGCTGGAGCTCGCTGACGGTATGTTGATGTGTTTTTTCTTTCGATTGAGGTGGCTTAGCTGACGAGCTGGCAAATGCTTTGACATCCAGCTCGGCTACTGTGGATGATTGGATCATGGAAAATAAGCAGCCGCTTTGGGAAGGTTGGAGCCTTGAAATCCGGAAATGCCGTTTGTTTTCTGGACTTGCTTGAACAGGTCAAGATTGCGCACTTTGCTATTGCGCCATCGGCCAGACAGATGCCGGCCGGCGAATGCGCTGTGGATGCTGGCTTCATTTTGAGTGCCTCGGTCATGGACTGAAGGCAAGGCACGGGCCAGCATAGAGCAGCTGGGCGTTTTTTGAGAGCACGGGGTGCCTGGAGGTGCTCATAAACGAGCACACCGTGGATGATCAGCGCATGAGCACCTGCCCCGCAGCCTGCGGCCGGCTCCTCGCCTGCAGGGAGATCTGCCTGTGCAAGTGGCCTTCGCGCTGGTCTTCGCGAATCTGCGTCTTAAGGCCACTGGGCCGAATCATGCCACCCGGCGTGATTCACAGAGCCGTTGGCGACGAGCTCTTTGCCAAGACGCCTGCCTCAACAGACTGCCATGTTACTTGCGTTCGCTAACGACGAGTCTCTTGCCAGCGTCTCAATGCATTTTGCAGCCTGCAGGTACCTGGATTTGCGTGTAGAGGTCCAGTGGCAGAAGGAAGCAATGGACTCCGGAAAACTGGTGGCGAAATGCCCTGGCTGCAGCTTCCTGGTTCTCTGCAACGAGCTTGAGGCTCGAGGAATCTATTGCGTCCTTGTGGCGCTGCTTGTTCAATCGCTGAACACTCTGCGCCAGTCTTTCACTTTCTGGGCTTATGCAGGAGATGAGCTCCATCAAGTGCTTGCGGAAAGGTCCCATAGAATGTTTGCATGCGCTTGGGCATCGAGCTAACTGAAGTCTCATCCTGAACACGAGGCTGCATCGTGGATCGCTTTTGTGCACTTTGTGCTTGCCTGAGAGCACGGACTGAGCACGTCCCAAAATCTGATTGTCTAAAGTCCTGCACACATGTTCGAGACTTGTGCAGCATCCTGATGTGGCTTCTGCCTTCGTGTCTGTTTCGTCGCCACATCATGGGGTCCCACGTTGATTGCAGAGGTGGCATGGCACCACATCGGCCCTGGACTTGCAAACAGCGTGCGCTTCAGGACGCCGTGCCGCAGGCAGCCCGCCATTGTCAGAATATGATCATATGGTGAAGGGTTGAAACTTGAAGCATGTTGAAACCTAAGCACATATCCGGATCAGTGTGAGCAATGTGAGGCACGCAAGAGAATCGAAGAGGCACTGGTGGAAGCGCTGCACAGAAGGTGTCCCGGATGTGCAGTGCCTACGGAGCGGACGGATGCATGCTGCCACATGACTTGTTCCAGCTGCAGAACCGAATTTAGTTGGGTATGTGGCATGAAGTATAGCCACTGCCGCGCGAACCATCCGTGCTTGAACGGTGCTATCTATTTGCACGCGATGCCGCAGCTCGTTGCCATCTTGGCACAGCGTGGGCTGGCAGCATCGGACCGCAACGGAAGCGACCTCTTTCTGGAGTTGCGCTGCATCTACTTGCTCTCGCAAGTCCGGGCGGAAGTGGGCGAAGAAGCCTGGAAGAGAACGCGTCCGAGCCTCTGAGTTCTTAAATCATGTCGCACCATCATGCGGTGCCATGCCTTGAGACTCATTGCTGATGCTTCAGCTCGATGAATATTATCAGCCCGAAGATACTCCTCTTCTCGGTTGTTTTCTTTTACTTGATTTGCCATCCCTGAAAGCTTCTCATTGATTCCGTTTTCCGAGGGTCGTCGGTCGGTCCTTCGCTTGCTGGCTATGCGTGGTACCACTTTCAACAGCAAGTCGCAGGAAAAGTTGAAAGTCTGAGCCGCGTCGCAGTCATGAAATTATGTAGGTAGCAGGGCACAGCAATCCACAGTCTCGTCTGGTGTGCGGTGGCGTGGAGAGGCTTAACGGTGGTGTACTATTGTACTATCAGGTGTGGAGCATCCCGAACTTCTCACGGATGTGATCCGGAGTTCATGGAGCATTCCTTGGAATGAAATTGGGAATGTGCGGCGGCTGACGAAACTGCTGCCTTATGCCTTTCCAGCGTTTGCGAAAACTGCCCGGTCGGCCATGTGGCTGCACAGCTTTGCACGAACTTGCCTGGCACGAATTCCATCATACTTGTGCCTGCTGACCGTTGCCCTAAGGACCGTGGCGCTGAGGTGAAGCCCCGGCTGCTCTCTGTGTTGGACGAGATGATGTGAAGCATCCTCTGGATCATCGGCCTTGGCTGGGGGTCATCGGGTGTTCTGTCTTTGCTCTTTAAGTTGGCCCATGGCAGCGAAGGCACAAGCGCGGCATAGCCGGCCTGCTATCGCTTGCCGTAGTCTGACTCCGGCCGTGTGTCAGCTGGAATCAAAAAGATGCGCTTCTTGGGCCTGCGCCGAGTTTTTGTTGTATGACAGCTGTATCATCATGACCCTGCTCGTAACGACTTGTCGCCAGGTGCATGCATCCTGAGCATTCTTGGGGACTCTTCCAGGATGGCCTCGAAAGGGATGATGCGCCAAGGTGCGAGAGGTCCTAGGTATTCCTAGGTCCTAGGCGTCTAAGCCACGGGATATGGTGTTGCGCCAAGAACCCTGGCAGCTGGCCCTCTTCTCGACTCCTGATAGTCATACCATGGCAGAGAAGTTGTTGATACTTTGTTGCCCTGAGCGAAGCTCATAGCAACATCTTTGCTCCAAAAGCTGCATCGAGTACCCATCAAGAAATAGCACAGTCATTAAAAAAACATTACAGTCATGCAAGGGTTCTTGTAGCTGTCCTGTAATCATGATGGTTACTCCAACGGCATGTTTCGCTAGCAGCAAGAAACCGCCCAGTTGAAAATTGAGAGAAACAGTCCTTCCTGGACATTCGGGTGCGTGGGCTGGCTGTTGCGTGCCATTGTGTGTTTGATGAGAAAGTTGAAAAGCCCCATCACAACATGGAGGAGCCAGCTCTCAGAATTTGACAGATTCGCCCTAATATCGGTTTCCGGGATGTGGTGTGGCACGTCTGTATACACACAACCGTTTCAGTTTGTTCTGGACTACCGTAGTCCTCGCCTGACCTGGTCAAGCGCGAGTGCTAAAAAGTAGTACATATGGACATAGATATAGATGTACATAGGTAGATAGACAGACAGACAGATCGACACACACACACACACATATATATATATATATATACAGATATTTATGTAAATATGTATTGTTTCATCTCTTCTCGTAGTGTCGAGCTGCCACTTCGAGAATAGGTTCTATCGGACTTGACACCTGCCATGCAGAGTCAGCGCGCTGATGACGCCATGTGGAGCCAAAAAAGTACATATTTATACGTACATATTAGTCTGCATATACATATGAATTAATAAGTACACACGTGCACACACACACACATATATATATATATATAGTAAGCACTACTATGCATATTTGTACTTGTGGTTGTTTTTTGACGAATTCTCCATCTCTGCATTGTTGCTCCGAACCTGTTGTTGCAAGGAACTTATATGCTCCCACCAGCGGTGTCTGCGGTGCAGTGCCTCGTTTCCAGCCGCGGTTACGACAAGTGCTACTTTGCTGGATCTGATTTGCTTGCGGAAGGAGGTCTTCTGGCATGCGATCTCCCTGCGACGTTCATCTTGGACGGGGAGTGGCAGACAAACCGACGATTATGTGTGGCGAGCCCATGCAAAATGCGCCGGTGTCGCAACACGAAGGTCAGAACCTGCGGAGCGTGAAGCTTCGCCAGCCCAGCAACAAGTAAGGGATCTGGGACGGCCCTGTCTTTCAGCTCACAAGGAGGAGGTCAGGGTTCGAGCCAAATCTAAACCACCATGACTTCGATCCGGTTTCAAAGTTCAGACAAACTCAGGAGGAGAAGCAGCACCACCAAGAGAAACAGAGCAGCACGTAGCCCACTTCCATGCACTCATGCTGCAAGATGTCGCACCTGGTTGTGATCTCAGTGCTTGAGTGCGTCGGCCTTCACAGAGAAGTGGGGAGAGTGAGCGACTTCATACAAGGTCCAGGATGCCCACCTCGAGCCAGGTCCTTCTCGGCCCCACTCCATTTGCAAGCTCGAAGCCGAAGCGTTCATGGTTTACTAAAGGACGGGAATAAGTCGTCAATGATCCTATGATATCCTATGTATTTCCTGATGTGAAATTAGCTTTTTCGTTTGGAAAAAGCAGCCTTCTGTCAAGGGCTTCTCCGGCTTCTCTCTTCGCTGTCAGCTGCTCGTGGTAAAGTGCCGTCGAGCCAGGTCTGGCACCGCACGAGAGCCCTCCCCGGCCCCGCGGCTGGAGCGACTTGGATGCGCTCCCATGACTTAAACCGAGTGCTAATGTCTTCACCGAAAACGTTCTGTGCTGCGTCCCCGCTCTTGCCAGGTTTAGATGCTGAAGGTCTGACCTGTACAACTGCTTCTGGTGTGCAACTCGAGGCTCCCCATTGCACCTCGACGTTCTTCCTCGTGCGGCTCTGATTGTTCGTCGAACGTCTGGTGGGAGTGTTCGTGGAAGCACATCGGAGACTTGTGACCGGTGAGCAGTTGGGTGTAGCTAGGAAACACTGCTCCATGCCGCAGCTGTTCCTTGCTTAAGCACGATCCACCTGCCTGTTTAGAGCTGCTGCAGGCATCCAGTTGCGGAAATCCGAATCGGCCACCGAGCCTGTCACAAGTTAGTTCCCACAAGACTCTCGGTCTTGTTTCATTTCCAGCGCGAACTGTGGCCGCATGCAGGCCATGGCTCCTTGGTCCCGGCCTTAGCAGACTTCTTTCCTGCGGCCTCAAAGCCGCTGCTCCTCCAGAGTTCGAGTCGCAGGTGGCGGTCTGCACTCCTGGCTTCTTTGGCCCTCGCCAAGCCCGAGGATGATGCGGCGCGAATGGCAGAGCCGGGGCTCTGAGCGTTGAAAACTTGGGAAGCCTCAACCCGAAATGCACAGCAGGGCCTAGGGTGGCATGGTGCTGCCATGTAGATATCAACAAGAGGGCCTCAGTGGCTTCAGCAGGGAGTTCTGCAATGCTCGCGTGAGTGTTTCTTGAGGCTTGGAGTGGCCTCAATCCTGAGCCTCAGCTGCTGTTTGCAGATCGCGTGTCACCAGAACTAAGTGCTTGCCTAGCCTACATCTCAGACAAATCTAGAAACTAGATGTGATTGCGTGATCTTCTCTGAGTGCCTGCAATCCGTTGGGCTTGTGTAGTGTCGCAGCATGATCCGCGCATCGCTATTTGAGGCAGTTCGCGCCTGATGCTACCGAAGTAGAGGGTGCAGGCTCGTCTTTATCTTCATTCTGAAGCATTCACGGTTTGTGCCGTGTGGCAGGCGCTGCAACGCCTGGAAAACCAGCTCATCCCCAAGGGGCAATATCTGCAATACGGTTTGATAGCAAAGTACCAGGGAACAGAAAAGTGCCAAAGCCGGTGGGAACACCTGAACCAACAGAATGCTCAGGTGGTGATGATGCACGGCATGGGCGACTTTGCGAACAATCCGATGGGCATGGTTCCGTTGCGGAAGCTCATTGCGCAGGCTAGTCATGTGCAAGCCAAAGCATTCAAGGATACCAGCAGGCTAGACTGGTAGCTCTCTCGGGTTCAGCTTCCCAGATCTTTCTGAAATCCCATCTCTGGTTCTTGCCGCTTATATAATTTGCCCATTGTCTTGCCACCCTGAGACCGCCAATGCTTACGTGCACAGCGTGGAATTGTGCTCGAGTCCTTCCAAGCTTTCCGGCTGCGACTCAGAGGACCCCCCTTGCTTGAAGATCTCGCCCACGTAGCTCGCATATGCTCGCATCTCGCGGCTGTCCTAGGTGGACATGGCTCAAGCGTGGAGAGTGGATCACTAGGCCACTAGGCACTTGTCCTTGCCGGCGGCGATGGGCCTGAGGCTCAGGACCATGCAGGCCCGGAGATTGCAGGCTTATTCCGATCCTTTCCGGTTCTCCAGAAGCCGATCCTTGGTGCCAGGTCCACTGCTGTGCTGTTCGTCTTTGTGCTCTGGTCTACTTCTTTGCCTTCTTGGGGCACCGTGGCCAAACGGGTGCTGGCACAAACTGGGTTGACTCTGCCGGTTATATGCGCCGCATCTAAGCTATGCTAAACTATCTGTCCTTCTAGATGCGTATGCCAGCATCAGCCGCCTTACAAACCGCTGCGTGCCTCAAGCACAGAATTCCGGCATCCTTTCCAGATGGTTTTGGGCTGCAGTGCAAAGCGCCGAGGAATGTGGTGGACGGGCCCATCATGTGGAAGCTCGAAGCTCCGGCTGGGTACACGTCTGGGGTTTTAGTCCGCCTGAACGAGATCGCACTCATTCCGGCAGTCCTGGTGTTTTTGAGGCACGGCCAATGCCTTGTGAGATTTCCTTGGATGTCACGGTTTGATGCGTGATCTTGCTACACGTCATCTTACACATGTCGCCCCGATTGCATTCAGGCCCTGGTGTTGGCCAGCACTTTGTTTTTGCTGGAAGATCTGGCACGACACAACCCGTGCTGGTGGATCCAAAGCTACTGTTCCGTCATTCTTGACACGTTCACGACAATCCTCGACAATAGCCTAGCTGCGGCACTGTTTGTTAGGTTTTGCATGATCCACCTTCGCCATACATGCCACGCTAGCAAGATGTCCCGGAATCTGCAACAGAGTCCGAAAGCCTCGCAGGTGGATTCTGGTTCTTCTTCGGATGGGATCAAATGATGGATGAAATTGGCTTCCTCAGCTGTCTCTTGTCCGTGACCCTCACACTGTACGACCATGATGGTCAGGTGCGGATTAAGGAGACTGAGGGCAGTTGCCTGCTGGATGGTTGTTCTGCCCTGGTGATTGTTGCTGTCCTGCTATGTTTCTGCTGGCCAGGCTGAAGACAACCAACAGTCCAGCACCTCTTCGTCGGGCTCCAGTGGTGCAGCAGAGCACCTAACGCCAGGACAACAGGAGGCCGGATGCAGAGCTCACGGAACCGCACCAGATCAAGGCTGGTTCTGTTGCACATCTGCAGGAGCACGAGCCCGTATTGCAAGCCGAGAAGGCGCAATGCCTTCCAAATTGCGGGACACAGCATGTATCGGCATCGCTGAATGAGTACAGCAACAACCCCTTGCAGTTTAAGTATCTTGCCATTAGCTGCATCGCAGCCTCTGCCAGGCCCAGAACAGCCCCGCCTTGCGCAGCCGGAGGCCTGCGAGCGAGCGCGCAGGCAGAGCCGAAGAGGTCGGGATGGTTCCTCTGGTGACTTGAGCTGGCGGCAGCTGACCACTTGAACAGCACGCAGTTTCCTGTCATTGTAGTGAACGTTTGCGCATCATCTGCCAGATACAGACACCACATGTATTGCAAGAAGATACGATAATTAGGGTTGAGAAATAAGACATTGCCTGTTAGTTGCTGTGCACGGTCGAGCCGAGAGCGAACAGCTCCGGAGCCCAATAATCTACTATTCACCTATTCCTGCTCTATGCCCTGGCTCTTTCCCCTCACTGTTTAGAGCTCTCCTTGTTAGTGTAGATATTACTGTCTGCCGCATCTGGGTGGACCCAAGGTCAGAAACGTATAAACTATAAACCCTCTGCGTCCTCAGCCCTAAGCTTTCCTCTGCGGGTGCTGTTCTAAATGTTGGTCCCCTTCTGGTGCCCAGTAAAATTGGCAACGTGCTAGACCGAGCATGGGCAAATCAAACCTGCCGCAGGCAATGAAGCGCGGCGCCACTGACCTCACAGAGGCTCGAGCGGGCAAACATTCAGGTCTCACAGACTTGCTGCCTATAGAATGAACGAAATCTATGTCTGTACCCAACCTAAACCGGTTCAATCCCGGCCTATCCGGATACAAAACAAAGAGATGGTGGCACACGCGCGGAAGGTTGGACTAGACTGGTACACGCTGCATGAGACAGACAGATGCAGAGGAGACAGCCAGACAGAGTGAGAGAGAGCCGAGATCTATCACAGGTTCAGCTCCGAAACAGGTGGGTGCACACAAGAGTTGTGGTTGGGAGCAGTCGGTGCCAAGACCGAGACCTGTTTTTTCATAATTTTCCACCAATTGCATGACGTGTTTCACTATTTGTTGAATTTACTTGCCTGATGAGTTTCCGCTTGTTTCGCTGAGTTCATTGTTTTCCCGTACATGTTCAATCAGACCCCGTGTTTTCTCAATAGTTTTCATTACTCCAATGGTTTCACCAGTTTCGTGAGTTTTCAATAGATGAAGTCTTTGTTGATGATTTTGCACCCAGTACGTTTCCCACTACTTGTAGTGTACTACATAGTAAAAAGTACGAAACCACAATCGACAAAAACAGTGTCTAATCGTGACATCCGTCGAAAATCTAAGGAGATGGCGAAAAATGCGTTTCAAAATCATCGCATGCAGCTAATCTTTCAATTGATGTCCAGTTGTGCCAGTTGCGTGGGCTAGACGGATGAAGGGGCTTGGGCACACATGCCCTCTCCTGATGCTCCGGTCCACAGCTTCGTGCCCTTGCGTAGGAAGACCTTGCGGATGGCAGAGAGACCGGGGGAGAGAGTAGCAGCCAAAGGGTTTGCCACGGACCAGGCGGGGGTTAAAACACAGGGCCAACCAAGCTGTCTTTGCCGTTCTGCTGAGAGACCCCTAAGCCGTCCACTCATTGACACAATGGGTGGTCGGCGGGGCCTACGGCCTGAGGGTCGCTAGACGACCCCTATACCCGGCAGAACGTGTGGAAAACAGAGAGAATGGACAAATCTTGTATCGTCATCCAACATCAAAGTGAATTTTCTTCACAAAACATGCGGAAACACTGCAAATATGAGGGCCACGCGGTGTCCCACCCTCAAAACTCAAGTCTTTGACAAATGAATGAGCAATATCGAAATGGAAGCGGTGAAAAAGTGAAATGTTGGGGAAAAAGGTGCAATTGGTTAGCAATTTGCGAAAATTGCTGCGCTGAAACGCTGGGCGCCAGTGAGTTGTTTGTTGTTCCCTCGTTATGTTAGCACTGTCCCGCTCACTCTTGTCTCACTATTTGGGTCACATTCCTGCTGGTTGGTGATGAGGTGCACATGATTAGTCATAACACAACTCAGGGAACAAACCCAACCATTAACACAGACTTATCAATCAGTTTGCCTGCCCCTGCTACACGTATGCTTAACGCTAGAGTGGAGGGCACGCCCCAAGCGCAACGAAAAAACAAAAGAGGTTAATAGATGGATCCATGGATAGATAGACAGATAGGTAGATAGACAGACGGATAGATGCTCGAAGGTAGGTAGATAGGTCCACACACGTCCGTAACGGGCCGCGTGCTTTCCTGCAGGTTTTGCGGTTTGGAAGCTTTCGCTGTGGATTCTAGGCGCTGCTAGGAACGGACTTTATTTAACTTTACTTGGGGAAGGGGGGTAGGGAGTGGGGGTGGGGGGGAAGGCTGATTTCGTTCTGGCGCCGCCAACTTTGTTTGAAAAATGGGCTTTGAAGCCACGCCGGCCAGCAAATGTCAAGACAGTGCTCGGGTTTGGGAAAGCCGGGATTATGAGGAAAGGAAAACATTGGGCTTTGAAGCCATGCTGCTAGCAAAAGTCAATACAGTGCAGACATGCCTTTGAGAATCACATTCAGGAGCTGTGTAGAGAAAACGTGGGGTGGCCTCTCTGCCCTTTCTCTCCTTGCTCCGCATCTCCTCGGGCCACCCTTTCTCCAACCCGGACGCTTGCCTCTCACTCTGCCAGGAAAGCTTTTTTCTTCTGCCGCGATTGCTGAAGAGGGATCACGTGAAGATTGCGTTCTCCCCACACACCGCTTTTGTCCGGGACCTTGGTGTGCGTCAATCCCGCAGGGTGAGCGCTGCTGTGCAGAACCTTAGGGCCCGCTACTCCTTTTTTTTCATTCCGGAGAGTACCTCGAACGAGGACTTTTTGTACGTCGAGAGCCACCATGGCTTCAGAGAGACGGGGGCAATCCCCTGACCTGTGCCAAAAGTGCTTAAATGGGGGAATGAAGAGACCGGCCACCTCACTATGGCGGACAACTACGTCCTGTACGGGGTAGTGAACCCCACAGCTGCAGTCTACCAAGACTTGATGCGCCAGCACGAACTGGCTCTCGCTCGGGACGCTAATGCCGGACCCGTTGGGAAGTTGCAGAAGAAAAAGGAAAGGAAAACCAAGCACGCCAAGCTTGCCAAAGCTGCAGCATACAGTTGCAGCACGCTGCCGGGGACTACGATATGCAACGACCTCGCCCCTGACGACCCGACTTGGGCAATCCGGAGCTACCTCGACCGGAAGTGCAGCGAGAGGCTGCTCCCCTGACCAGCCCGAGGCAATGCCAGTTGAAAGCCCAAGGACAACCACCGTGCCGGCGCCCCAAGGCCCTGGGCACACTTGCTTGCCAACCACGACTGCCCCCACTTCGGCACCTACGACTGCTTCCGCTTCGGCTTTCTACCTCAACATCGACCTCGACCTCGATTCCTTCGACCACAAAGGCCGCCGGGGTTGTTCGGGGACTAACCCAGTCCAAGCCGTGCCATACCTGTACCTGCTGCCCGAGCAGTACCTCCACCTGTACCAGCTGCCCTACGAGATGTGCTCCCCAAACTCGACGAGCCAGATGCCGCCGTCAGCACGACTCGAGAACCGAGTGGGCAACCCGACCGACGAGACACTCCTCTCTGACCATAAAGACGAGCTCCACGACCCGTCCGATGTGGCCCACACGGACCATGACCCTCTGCAACCTGGTGCAGAACACCGGCGGGAAGACCAGCAGGAGGAGGAATGCCGGGGGCTCCACCCCGTCGTAGACATCTTCGATGACTTGGAGGATTCAGACGACCACCCACCTGAGCCCGACGAGGCGGCTGCATGCAGTGACAATCGCCATGCCGAGCTCGCTGATGTGGACCAGGACAGCACTGACGAAACCCAAGAGGGGAGAACCTCTCCTTCGTCGCCAAAGGGGCCACCACCAAAGCTTACTGACCGCCAGCGAGCACGGCTACAACAACTTCTCCAGAAGCGCGATGACCAGGGGGACCCTGCAGGACCTAGTTTCAGTAAAACGGGGAAACATCCCCAGAGCACCTTTGGCTTTACTTTCTGGGAAAAACCCCGCTGTTGTGAGTTTTCGTGATAATTGTCCGTGTCGTACTGGCTTGCACGTTTAGCCTGACTTCGATCAGCACACTTTATTTCTCTCCGTCCTCGGCTTGCACCTCTAAGCTAACGGGATGTACCCCTACCGCGCAACATTTTAGTTATTCAAGACGGGACGCCGGAGCCTTCCAAACTCTTCTCAACTTGCCCCCACTGTGGGGCTCTTTACCATACAAGCTGTACATCACTAATTCCCTTGCCAGTACTTTTTGCGGACACCTCTACAGTACAGTGGAGCTTCCTGTGTTTCTATGTTACTTCGCCAAGGCAATGGTCACCGTTTACCTTCTCATGCTAGGCTATCTTTGGGCTTGTGATGACATCGATAACTGAGATCGGGCCCTTGTTGGAGTTTGCCGATTTAATATGCCGCTCCGCAACAGTCGGGGGCACACACGCGCGCGGGCAAGGGGGTCTCCCCCTTGTCCCCAACCCTGGCGAAAGGGAGAGAGACAGAGAGAGAGAGAGAGCAACCCTTAGCTCCAAACGCCTTGCAAACAAGCAAGCAAGAGCAAAAAAGACTGCTGGTGTGGAGGGTAGGTTGCCTGCTGCTCCTGTCTGTGTGAAGGTAGAAAGACCGTATGGGTGCGTGTGTGCGTATATATATATATATGCATATGTGTGTGTGTGTACACATGTATAGGTACCTAATGAAATTAAAGCACACGTGTACATATATATAATATATATGTAGCATACTTGTGTAATGTCTGTTTTGTTGTGCAATTACAGCATGCGTGCACATATTCATTGTGCAGCCTTCAACCGGTTATGCTTTACATATCACGGTGTGAGGAGTCAAACAGTGAACAGCTTGAGGCTGCCGTGACAGTGTTGTGCGTCAGGACGTGATGGCCTTGTCAGTGTGGCAGCTTCTGTGGCACCCACTTGACCCGAAGCCTGAAGGCCTTGAGCGGTGCCACGCAGTGGTGGAGTCTTGCACGCCCGTTTGGCATGGCACTTTAAATGGATTCCCGCAATTGCCGCGTCACAGTCGTAGAGACGTTGCTGGTATTTCGCTTTCAGAGACAATTTTTTTGTTTCACTGTTTCGCCGCCCATAGTACATAGCAATCCAATGCTCATCATAATCATTGGACAGGGCATGTCTCAAGCTTCTGCCGATGAGGATTGGGCGAGAAGCATGGCGGAGATCTCACTTTCACTGGCAAGCTTCCGTCTCTTCTTTGCAGCCGGCCTGATTAAGATGCGGGCAGGAAGCCCATGTTGGAAGGATCTGACATGCTTGTACGACCACTACGAGACACAGCCGATGCCAAATTCTGCGGCATGGTATTTCCACAATTACACGCCGCGGCCCTTCCTCCGAATCATGCAGTGGTTCGCAATAGATGTGTCGGAATGCATCGTTCCATTCCTGCTTCTGGGTTTTGCAGTGAGCATGGGGCCTCTTGGCGTCTTGCGGCGTGAGCTACTACGAGGGGATGAGTGGTATCTCCAGTGGCTAGCATGCTTTCCAGCGCGATTGGTGGGATCTGTCACCATCATGACCTTTGTTTTTGGTATGTTCGTTGGCGGCAACTACGCCTTCCTGCATCCTTTGTCGCTGGTGGCCCTGGTGGCTTCCATGGGAATTGTTGAAGGAGTTCCAATGCAGAAGAAGTCCGTGTCCCCTGAGAAAGCCGTTTACCGCTTGGTCATGCCGTGGCTGACGCTTCTTCTGTTACTCTTCGCGTTTCTTCCCAGCCTTCGAGCCTTTGTCACCGGGCCCGAAACAGAGGACGTTTGCTACGGGTGTAGCCGATACAGTGCACCCAGGTTTATCCTGATGCATCAATTCATCCTCCAGAATGCCTCTTTATGTGCCTGTTCTCAAGGCCTGGCTGTCAATGGGGAACGAGAGGCTCGGCATCCTGGAACCTCTCGCCCAGTCCGGCTTCGTCCGAGCAGCCGGACAGATGAAGCTTGGCTCGTGCGGAAGACATGGCTGCATGGTCTTGCATGCCCGCGGTGTGTTGCCAGGCTTGGGCTTGCACAGGCGTGCGGGATATTCTGGCAGTAAGCTTTCGGGACCCGGATGTTACACGGATTTGTCTCGCGGCAAGAGTTGACTGCCACTCTTCGCTCTGCTTCGAAAGTTGTTTGCCTGGCTGAAGTAAAGAGATGAGGAACCTTGGAATTGCTTACAACCACCATGCGTACTTCGCCGGTGCCGTCCATACACGAAATGAGCCGCTCGATTCACAAACATCTTGCGGACACGCTGTGGTATCACTTTCTGGGATGTGCTGCTGTTCTAACCACATCTGGAGTTTACCAATCTAATTCAATCCCTTCGAAGATGTCTGCAGGATGGTTCTTTTTGCCGATGCCGGCGAAGGCAGGGCTTTTCTTGAGAAGATTTTGGACCGAGAGAGCGGAGACAGGCTTGATCGAGTTGGACATCCCGTACAAAGTCGGCCGTGGCCTTGGCGACCAGTGGCCCTGAGTTACCCGTGGGTTCCGAAAGCTGCATGAGGGTGACTCTCACGCAAGTGCATTCTTTTTGGTAAGCAAGCGCCCGAGAAAGGCCCGCCCCACTCTAAGTCTCCGCAGGCCGCCCGGACCGTGCACCCCGCCAGACCAGTCCCTTACATCGGCGCTTCGCCTGGCAGTGGTGGTTCCTGGCTCTGGGTGCCTCGGCGGCTGAAAGAAAGAGAAGAGGACCCTCTTTGTGTTTTCGGTTTGCCTTGCCGAAGTGTGTGGGGAAGCCCAATTCAGTAAATGTTTGTCACAGGTCTGGCCGACAATTGTCACTGTTCACCAGTCCTGCCTGACATGTTGTACCTTGATTAGTTGCCATGCAGCGGACTCTTCAGCCTTCTCGGAAGCATGCATGGGCTTTGATCTGCTTGCGCCAAAACAACATGAGTTTCAATCAGGCAGCGATCCTTCCTGGCTGATGTCCTTTATGGAGCTGCTTTGCGCCTCGGGTTATCCCGAGAAGGGAACGGGCTAAGAGCTTGGAGGGCACCTGCCAAAACATGCCAAAACATCACCGGCTTCCGCAGGTCACAGAGATAGAGTGGCGTGGGAGGCGGTGGAATGGAACGACAAGGTGCATGCCAACCTCAGCAAGCTCCAGAAAGTCTCAGTCCAGATGTACACTTACCACTTTTCCAAGTGCCCTGTCCCATTTTATGCAGCTGGACAGTGCGCAGCAGCTCGCCGCTCCGTGCCCCTTCTGAAGAGCCTTTAACCGAGGCCTGGTTCTTCTGACTGGTGGAGCAGAGAGTTGCTCCGTGGCCATGGGCTGGAGATCTCCTGCGTTTGAGTGCCGCTGCTTCCCAGGTTGTGTAGAGGAGCTCAGGCGAGGATCCTCGTGAGAGCAAATTCTGTACAGAGGCAGACAACAAGAGCTTGTCTCGGAAGGGGCGGGAACGCCGTCTTCGTGCCGTTGCCATTCGCAGGGTGGACATAGCAGAAGCGTTGTCACAACAGGTCCTGCATGTCCTGCTCTGCTGGTCTGCAGTGCTGCCACCCTTTTGTGAATGAGCACTGGCATCCATCGGGACCAATTGCACAGGACCAGTCCAACGGCTTCTTCATGACAATGGACCCGTGCTCGGACTTGCTATGATCTCATTGGCAGGCGACATGTCATCCTGGCTGAGGATGCGCAGGTCGATCAGTTCGCACGCGTTGTGCGAGCAGACAAGAACTTGAGCAGCCGCTCGCCTACCTGCAGTTCTACATGTGGGCCGTTGTCCCTGTAGGCATCTGTAGGCGCAGCAATGGTCTTCGGATGCCTTGCATCTGAAAGCCTTTCCGAAAGAAGGGGCCAGACTTGAGCTGCAGCATGCGAACAGGGATGTCAGCTGGTTGATTGCTCTTGGCAAGAATGATGAGGTAGGACGAGTGCAGTTGTCTTAAACTCCGAACTGCCGAGATGGCTTCAATGCCGTGGGCTTCTCGCAGGGAAACGCGCGATTCCTACGTTCTGCCAATTCATGACAGCTCCGGTTTCAGCGTGTCCTTCTCCAGAGCTCTGATGTGAAGTAGACATGATGGACAGGCTGTAGGTTGGGCATGACGTCAAGATTCGCATGCTGTCACACTGCTCAGACCGTGATCCGCGGCTACATCCACAAGTACAATGACCCGCCTGTCAGGACGGAGGGAGTCGGGCAGAGATGTCTGTTACTCGGAAGGGCAGCCCATCTTGGAATCACACCCCAAGTGTTCGGTCGAGGCCGCGGCTCTAATGAACAGCAGGTCTTTAAGTGATTCGGGGGCTGTCCTTGGATTACATGCTTGCTCGACCAGCAGAGTGAGTTCCGAGATCCTGACCAGGAGCTTTCTGTCCATGCATGGCGTTCTCATGGGAGCTTTGATCTTAGTTGTTTTTCGCTGCAAGGTATGCGAAGAGGCAGCCTGAGGCAGCAGGCTTGTGCGATTCATTCCAGGTCAATGGACTGCCGCAGTGCCCCATGGAAGCCGATAGCTGAGTGAGGATGCGATCGGTTGCTTTTCATACATATCACCAGTCACCAGTTGCAATGTCTCAAATGCTCCGCTGCTGTCCGCACTTGACTGACCCGTCTGTCGAGGTGCCAGGGCTTGGGCTCATTTGTCGAGCAGTCGATGCAATTGTCTCTCATGCAGGACCTGTCCCAGCCTGTGTTTCGAACAATTCGAGCACAGTCTTGTCTAGTTGACACGTTCTTTTGGAGGAGTATACAGCAGCTTCGTGCCTCGGCTGCGTCAGCAAAGCTAGAAGTAGAAGTCCCAGGCTCTGACGAAGAGCCGTCGGCAGATCGTTGCATCTTGGGATATCTTGGGGTTCAACTTATGAGACGGTCTGACGCTGCACTCGAACCTGTTTGTTTTGGCTCAGGATTTGTTTTGCCTTGCAGTTTGCGTGCCTTTAAACCCGCACTGCAAATTAAAGGATGGAGTGCTTACGTGCAGAGCTCGGCCATCATGTGCCCACCTCTGCACCTCAGCACCTCCGTCTGCATGCCAGTTTCAAGTCAAGAGAGCCCGAAACACTCGACGACTCTCTCTTCTGGAAGCGGGCAACATCCCCAACCTCGGAAACAGAGACGGACGACCTTAGTCGATCATCACTGTCTAGCTTTGAACGGAGTTCGAGCGACGAAACATTGGAGCACGAGCTGGCGTCCGTCAGGGAAGTCGTGCATCTCTCAAAAGCACGGGCGCTGGCTTTGCAGAAGGAGCTCTTGGCTGCTTTCTCAGCTCCAAGCTTTCAAAAGTGCTTTTCCGAGCTTGTTCGGGGCAAGAAGCGTGTACTGTACGAGCAGCTTGTCTGCAAGCAGCAAATGGAGCTGATTGGCAAGTACGGCTTCGAAGTATCGAGTGCGGGGTTGATGGACATGCAGCAAGCCCTGAAGAAGTTTTCGGACGATCCGGACATCCTAGTGAACGACCTGGCCATCGAAGAAGTGTTGGCTATCGACAGGAATTGCATTAGCCAGAGCAGCGAAGAGCAGATCCATGCGAAGCACAACCCAAAGCCCGTAACGTCCGTCAGCGTCTGCGATTTGTGCCTGGGCTAATGGCGTGCTTTTGGGATGGGCAAGTCTGACAAAAGGGAACTGTTTGGTCTCTCGCTTGACATCAGGCTGCGTTCCCAGCTCGTCAGCTTCGGCTATGCGCCCTTCCAATCTTCCATAAAGCAGTTGAAGGACACCGTGGACAGCCAGCTGGGACATCCCGACCCACAAGGACACGTCAGTTTTCTTCGCTTCCCAGTCCATTTTTGCTTCGAGCTTTGAGCACGGACCGAACATGTCCAAGAAGCGCCTAGTACATGTTCGTCCCAAGACAGGCTACTACCATCTGCCGGGACGGGCAGAACTGGCTCTCCAGGCAAACCGGCAGAGAAGCAGTATTGTAGTGCCTTGGCACGGCGTCGTGCTGCCAGGTCCAGAAGGAGATCTTGCCCAGCTTTGGCTTCGAGGGATCCAAGGTTGGCGTGCAGGAGCCGTTGCCTGCAAAGTCACGGCTGCTCTGCCCTTCAACGTTCACATCGCAGACACAATCAGTAGAGCAGTAGCTTCTTCTTCTCCTTGCGTTTGTCAATTTCATTGCCATTACCGGTACCACCAGTGTCACTAGACAGAATGAGCAGCAATTGGCGTTGCTGGCCAGCTTTTGCCTCAACCTCCGGAACCGGAACCTACCTCAATCGGTTCGGCCGGGCTTTGGTGGTGCTTAATAAGTGTTTTCGTATATATATATATATATATATATAATAGATATGTTCTATAGATCTCTGCGCAGTACACAGCACATGGTTTTGCAATGCTTTGCAGGAGATGATCATGCATTGCGCCCGTTTTCTCAAAAACAAAGAAGTTGCCCTGCTTCTGGATGCGGTAAATGCGTCCAGCTCCCAGCTTCGGCTTTTCTGAGCCAGGGCAAGGGAGGATTTCGAGTGGACTGGATTCGCTGCAGCTGTCATCATGCACATTCACTCCTCGGCGTGGATTGAGCTTGCGTCTTTGTTCGGCCCAGGAAGCTTGGCATGACGCCCGCCGCTTGCCGCCGCTTTCGTGAGCTCGCAAGCAGCTTGGCAGACAGGTGAAGCCATGCTGCCTGCCACCCAGGACCTCGTAGCGGTTGAGAAGGAAACTGAAGCTGGTGACCGGCAACCAGCAAAATGCGTTGTGTGCCGTGCCTGCAGGAGAGTGGCGCAGTCGGACGCCGTCACATCGTAGTCTTTAGGTGCTGGGCTTGGAAACAAGCTAGCTGGCGCTGGAGTTATGCCTCACAGTGTCTGAGAAGGCCACGGAATGCCAACATTGCCTTCCAGTTCTTATGGTATCGTACTGAGCTGGGAATTACAACCGCATCCTGTACAGTTTCCGCACGGAACGAATTCAATTTCCAGCCAAGCGCTTTGATTCTCAATCACGAACGGACAATACTGCAACCAGCAGAAGAAACCGGTACGCAGCGACCGGACATGTCAACACGCGAATGCTGCGGCAGGGTCGCTGCACTAAGTGCTCCTGAAGCGAGTTCGATTTTGCTTGGCTATTGGACACAATTTCGTGGGCGACCTCTGAAACTGAAGACGTTGATTGGGTGATTTGTTGCAGGAAGCGGGTCTCCTCAGAGTCTTGCTTCAGCCTCGGAGGTTTTTTTTGAAACGCATCGGGCACACTCGACAGGTCTGCCCTGGCTCTTGGAACAGAAAACGAGCCGAGCGCGTTCGGCCCACCATCGCTCTTAACAGTAATCCAACTGTACCTTACCAGGTATGCTGCTGTGAGTTTGAAGCGCTTTGAAGGTCGGGAGTATGCCGGCTGCAGTCCATAGCTGACTCCTGGCAAAAGACACTGGCCCTCTGAATTCAGCGCAAACAGCGGTGCGTCTCATTTGAAGTGTGGAGCTCTTGGGTGGGCAATTTTTTTTCAGATTCGAGTTCTGGCTCGGCTGATTGAACTGAGCAAGCTCGGCTGCAGAAAGTTCTTGTTCTGCTTAAGCAGTTTTAGCTGCTAGCTCCGTGCATGTCTGGACACTAGTAGCTTGGCAGCGAAAGAGCAGAATGTTAAGAGCACTCACATAGTTGATTGATGTTGACTGTCTCAGCTGTCAGTTGACAGCATGAGACTGTATGTGTTAAGACAGCGGAGAAGGCGCAGGGTAACGAGAGTCTCCTACAGACTCGGCCATGCCATTCTGATCTGATGTTATGCAGAAGGGAAAAAGCTCTGCACACCCGGAGCCACAGTCCGTTGTCACACGAGAGACCTTCGATTCGGTGTTAAACTTGTTAAGCCACTGCCAAGGTGCAGGACCACTTGGCCCAAGCGAACTATTACCGCGACGCGGCAAACCTTGGCGAGTACAGATCCGGGGCCCACTTCTTGCCCTACATCAACAACGAGGCCTTTCCAAAAATTAGCCAGCTTCCTGCGAGACAGGATGGACACGATGGCTGTTGTATGCTTCAGTGCCAGGAAGCGAGGGGGAGCTGCAGACAACATCAGACAACAGATAGGTTCTGCCCTTGCCTACCTACTGTAACCACCCCTATCCTGCGCGTCCGGAACGGACAACCTCAATGGGGACGCTTCCAGATCCGGTCGAGCCGTCGACCGATAGCCAATCAGTGCAAGCAAACACGTTGTGCTTGGTGCCTACCTAGAACTACAGCATCTTACAGTGGGGCGCCTGAGTCAGGCATACTAGGAAGAAGAACCAGGAGGAATTCAACAATAGAACTGTAGTCAGAACGTAGGGGCCCGTGGGCATATGCCTGCAGTACTGCATTGGGGAAGTGAATCAGGCATGAGTTCTTTGCCATGATTGAAGCACAAGCCTTCCATGTCTTTGTGCAGGTCAAGGGCCAGGACGGTGTGTTCATGTCGGTTCCGGCATTCCTGCACAGTGAAGTGGACGGCTGAAACATTGGCGCATTCGCAGGAGAATGCCACGTACAAGGAGAATTTCAAGTCCTTGGAAAAGCTGGTGCTGGTGATGGCTGAAGACGACACCATGGCAAGTCTGGCAAACATTGTCGGCATGTCGCAGAAGTCGAGTGTTGTCTGTTTGAGCGTGCCAGGTCCATCCAAAAGAAAGTGCCGTGGCAAGGAATTGTCAGCGACACGGTCTTGGTGTCCTTTTTGCTCCTTCAGGTGAGCACTTCGGCTACTTCAAAGATGGCTCACGGGAGGCCGTTCAGAAAACGAGTGTTTCACTGTGAATCTATTCGCATCCCTGCACTACCCTCTGCAGTACAAGTACGCTGCAAGTGTAACACGATGCAGAAACATTCGCCTTGCTTTGGAGACCTTGGTGGCCATGCGCGATGCGCCGTGGTATACTGACGATTGGTTTGGTCTCAAGAGCTTGGACCAGGAGACCGGATTGGCTGACAGGGTTCGTGTTTGCTCACGATCTCGCTACAGAAGCCAACGACATCCTGTGCATGGCCGAAACCCGGCTCTGCTGCTTGTAGCTGCTCCGCAGGACAAGAAGATCGACTTCTTCTCGACACCAGGCAACCGGATGAACATCACATTTTGCATAAAATCGTGGATTGCTCAACGACGAAGGCAACCACCTTCGCTTCAAGACTGACTTCTTGGTTGAGATGGTGCGGAAGCTTACAGAGCATGTGCAGCGAGACCCACTCAGTGCTGGCCTAGATGAACTAGGCAACCTGCTTTTCATGTTGATAAAGCTGTGGGATGCTCACCCATCCTTCGTCTTATCTGCTTGCTCCTCGTAGCCTCAGGTCAAAAAGTACTTCGTGACCTCCAGCGACACGGCCATCATGGTTTAAGAGTTTTGAAGAGCTTGTCGACCTCTCTGTCTCTGATCCGGATTGCGAGCGCTCCGACAAAGGCGGCGGGGTATAGGTCTTATTGCAGTTTAGGTGATGACAAGATGTCCCTGTAGCACAGCGTCGCTGCCTCCACAGGTCTTTGTAAATCTGTTTCGGAGCATGAGAGAATGTTCACCAGCTCGCACATGTCCGCTGACGCGGCGATTGGCTGCGGGTGGCATGGCATGGCCCATGGCTTTTCGTTCACCGTTTGGTTTTCACCCAGTCGCTTCTCCGGCTGCCAGTAGTTCAGACAAGAATTTCGCTGAAGTCCGAAAGCATACTTACTGTTTACCGAAGCTTCGGGAGAGCGGGGCTTAGCAGCAATCTGAGATGCAGCAAGCAAAAGCGGCAATGCACGCATGATTGGTCGACAGGCGCTTACAGCCTTTGCTGGACCAGCTAACAGACAGGGGTAAAGTTTCCTCGCCCTGCTGAAGCTCTTTTGGACGGCACAGGTCTGGGTTCAGCGCCGTCACGGTGGCCGATGGTGCAACACGAGTCGTGCAGGCAGGGGTTGAGGGCTGTAGCTGCGCTTGCTGCTCGGCCCGCTTCGTCGAACTGCTTTTGCTTGCAGGCTCAACCATGCCGCAGCGGGGAGCTTATGCCTAGGCAAGGATGATTTCCTAAGCCTGTGCACGGTCTGGGTAGTCAGAGTCTCTCGAAACCTTTTGGAGCGAGCAGACGCAGTCCCAATCCTAGGCTCGAGCGAATCACCTTGCCGAGCGACCGCAGCAGTCAACCTGCACAGCGGCTGTGCTTTGATTTTGCCTGCGCTCACGTCCTGCCTCAGTCTCTGGCTGCTTACCAAAACATCATTGCCTGGCTTCGGTTCTTCCTTGGGCATGCTCATGTTTTGGGCGGATCTTGCCGCAACGGCCATGACAGCTGCCCTCAGAACTCACCATCATGACCAGACCTAACGGACTATGTAGAATCCATCAATGCAGTCAAGTATGCATCTTGTCAGAGTGGAGCGTATCGATTGAATGGACACGCACGTGGTCAACGCAGAAATTCCTTGACCAACTCCATGTTTGCTTTGCACTGTTACGCCCATGTGCAGGCTGTGTGTTCTTAGCAATTAGACCATGGCCTTCTGTCGAGCCGCAGTTGTGGCGTTCCTTGCATGCCGTGCGAGCGAGATTCCAGAGGATGTTTGCTCCGGCGATTGCAGCGCCACAAGAACGCAACCCGAAAGCAGGTATACTACAAGCAGTCATGCTTCGGCCGGGTGCTATGACTGCTCAAAGGCTTCATGTCTCAAACCTGCCCGGAAGTGACTGGTCAGGCATGAGTTCGCGCTCATCACCGACTTGGACAAGGCGTCACGCCATCCGAGCAAGCAGACATGGCACGCCTGGTTTCGAAGAGGCCGGGGTTGTGCCCCTACAGTTTGAAAATGTGCTCGGAAACGGCTGGAAATCTCGGCAAAATGCATGCCACATTCTTGATGGTCACTCCTGCACCCGCGGGATTGCATTCGTTTGGCAGGCACGCTTCGCTTCGAGACCGGGGCCGGCCGCTATCATCTCGATTGGCTTCACACGAGCAAGCTTGAAAGCAGCCTTTCCTTCAAGAACCGCAGCATCTTGGAAGCCGGGAGAGGGAAATGAGGGATTCCAGAGCCGTAGGCGGCAAGCTGCGTATTCCAGTGATGAGGCATGGAGCTAAGCGAGTTGGTCCGTTTCCAGGAACATCTCCTTGCGATGTGCCACTTGTCGCAGACAGGGTTGAAGGGATGTGCTGCAGCTATCGGTGCTTGCAGGTGATATTACGGGCCTGGTCTTCGAAGTCGATCCGGAGGCGGGTCAGGCATTTCAAAGACTGGCCTTGGCAGACGGCAACGGTAGATCCACGAAGCCCTTCAAAGCTGAGTGGGCCACTGTGAAGGACCTTCCTGCATGTCTTGAAAGCTTCTCCTCGTAGCCAACCCGCATTGGACAGATCCGCACCCCGAAAAAGTAACTCTTCCCTGAGATTGTCGTGAGGACGGGTACCTGTTCGTGGGCAGCATGGGTCGTGAGTGGACCGATGACGATGGCTCCGTGGTGCACCGCGATGCACAGTGGGTCAAACGAATAGATTCGAGCTGGCATGTCCAGAGCCTGGACTGGGGGCAGAGGTTCGAGGCCTTGCGCGCAGCCGTGGATGCCAAGCTTCCAGGCTACCTGTGGCATGAGGCCATCATTTGGGACGAATGGCTGGCAAGATGGCTCGTGCTGCCGCGCAAGGAGAGTCGGGAGCCCTACTCTCCGACCGCAGACGAAACGCGGGGCACCAACTTGCTGTTGCTCGCAAACGACGATTTCTCAGTCATCGAGACGCTCCGTGTCGGACCACTGGAGCCGGAATGGGGCTTCGCAGCCATTCGCAAGGTACCAGGTACCAATGACACCTTTGCTGCACTCAAGGTGCGTGAGGTGGGCAAGCGAACTGCGACGAAGTTGTGCGTGTTCGATCTCAGCGGCCGCATGCTCTTGGAGCCTATCTTCGAAGATGTGGGTGAGATGAAGTTCGAGGGCATGGAGTTCACCTGAAACTGAAATGATACGTAGTCTTTGCACGCAAATGATGTCGCTCATAAATGTGCCACAGCGCTAAAGAGAAGAACATCAGGGAGGATGAGCTCGGGAGAAAATCGAGCTTGTAAGGGTGACTGAAAGCCTAGACAAAGAAGTGCTAGCCACCATCTCTCCCGGTTGCATGTTGCCAGGTGAGGCCATACAGCGGCCATGGCGACATTCTCGGGAGTTTGATCCAAACCCGAGAAGCCCGATCTGGAGGAGCCTTGCAATTAAATGGCCGATTGCGGCTGCAAGTTTTACCGTTGGGGGTAGCAGGAGCTCTGCAGCCCCTGAGCCTCTTGTTTGGGCCCGGAGTCCTGCGGGGTGCGAAGCCCAAACTATGCTTTGGTGTGAATGCGTGGATCATGTAACTGTACCTAGTCTGCACGTGTGGCGTGGTAGCCGAGGTCGATGCTTTACAGCAGCCAGGCAGCCAAAGTTTCCCATACGGTGAAGTTTTGGAAATACTGTAAGTGGGGGGCGGCCAAGCCCCGGAGCCGCAAAGGTAGTATTCAAGTGTCCTTTTTGCCCCTCCCTCGCCCTCCACCCTCCGCCCCTCCACCCACGACCGTTGTCCCTGTTGCCCCCTCCCCCCACTCCCTGACCGACCCACCCCCCACCCCCCACTCCACGCCCCCACCCTCCACCCTTCCACCCTTCATCCCCGGGCTGCATCCGATATTCATTCTCAGGGTTGCTGCAACTAAACGTTTTCAGGATTTCGGGTGTCGGCAATTCTGATTGAGTTCGCTGCTTTGAATGCTTGGAATGGTTTCGTTGATTTTCTTTGGGTGGCTTCGGATCTCTTGAAGATGGGGGGTAGAGGCTGCTGATCGGGTTCAAGTCTGGTCATCGGGAATACAATAATTTCATGGGAATTTGGACCTAGAGGGTTCCCGACACTCGAGTCCGTGTGAGAGAGAGAGGGTTCCCGACAATCTGTATAGCTTTCCACGAATTTTGCAAGCCACTCCTTGAGATTGAGAGTTTAGGGTGTCTGACGAAGTGTTAGACGGCCGCGCGGCTGACAGACCTCTGAGTCCGCGAGAGAGAGAGAGAGAGAGAGAGGGCAGGGCGCAAGTGTGAGCCGTGGGCAGTCACCGTACACCGACCAACCAACCCGCAGCGACTCATTGCTCAGCAGATGTTGCCCTGCTTTGTTTCGACCCAGGATGAGGCCCGCACAGCCAGCACTGCCTGAACTTTTGTTGAATGAAGGATGGTGGGCCAAATCTGTGGCAGCAGGAGGCAACCAGCTGCAGGGCGGTTCCTGCTTTCGCGTTCTTGATTTTGCCAAGTCTATATGGAGCAAGAAGAACCGTCGACGTAGATTTGCAAAATTTGATGCTTCGAATTGGCTCGAAAGTTTCACAGATGGTCTACACAGGTGCTTTTCCCAGCTTTCTGGGACATGTCGGAAAGGTTTCATTGAACGGCCGTATACTTAGACGATTGTGCCCGTCTCCTAGTGCGAACGCAAGACAGAATGTAAGACACTGCCAGTCTACGGATCGCCAAGCCGAGCCACAGATCTGTAGTTTATTGCTTGAAGGAACGAAGGAGACACTCTCTAAAGCCTTGCTCCCATGGATGGTGATGCAGTGGACGAGGAGTGGGAAGGCACGCTGAGGAGTGTTCGCCTGCTCTTGGAGTCCCTGAGACTGCTGTAGATGCTGCTTCAGGAATTCAAAAGCTCAAGCCATGCGAGCTGCAACATCTTACAGAAAATCCACACTGATAAGCCTAGATTTTGCAGGGTTCGGTTGGGATGTGATTACAATAGGATTCTGCAATTTTGCAGGTCGTTGCCACCTCGGAACTGTCGGGAAAAGCGGGGATATGTTGGAAAGGCATAGGATTGAAAGAGAAAAGTGTGGTCTACTGGTCTACTGGCCAATACAACTCTCTGGGAACGATTATAGTGTGAAGCCTGCATCGCACGACACATGAACGGTGAGGCATGGAATTCTTGGTGTTTTGTGGCGGGATTCTCAAGGGTTCCGTGGTTTGTTGTAGGCTGGCATGGTTTGCTGTGGGTGGCCTTGGTGGGGTTCGAGAAAGTTGAACAGACACCACTTAAGTGGCATTCCACGCGGCCTTCTCGAACTACGTTCTTCTTGAACCCGTCCACAGTCCGTCCAAAGTCGAGAGAAGAAGCGGGCTAAGCACGGCGCATCACAGGTGGAGGGCAACCTTCTGAGCTTCCGTGGCCACGGCTCTTCTCTGAGTTCCGGGAGAACTTGACAGTCCCGGAGGTGGGCCTAGGGTTGAGAGAGCGTGACCCCTTTAGTGGGTTGATTTGGAGCGACGCTTAAGCTGTGAAATGGAGCGCACATAAGCTTGACTGCTCTGTTTGCGTTGATATGCATTGGGATGTACTTAACAAACGCTCAGGTGCGTCGGTGCCGAACAGTCTGCTCTTGGTGGAAGAGGCTCGAACTCGGCCCGAGCACAAATCTGAGTATTCTGAGATCACTACTCCTAGAATATGCCTTGCCGAGGGGCGGGGGTACTGGGGCCAGGTTAAGGCAACAAAAATGTCTCACCGCCACCCCCTAGGGCACCCCGACCTCGTGCAATCCCCCCGGGGCGCGGCTAAGGCTGGGGGGGTTCTTCGTTTTTACTTAGGGATTTCGGGGTTCTGGAAAAAGGGGTTTATGTTAGGGTTTTTCTCGGCTTAGGGTTTCAGGATTCCGGCTTTAGGGTTTTTGGACACGGAAATCCGTGGTGGCGAGCAGCACTGATCAAGCCTGTGCAAAAGAGGGTGTCTGGGTTTAACGGTTAGGGTTTATGGGTTTCTTGGTTTACGGTTTCTGGGCCGCCTTCTGGGCGTAGAGATTCAGGTATCTGGGTTTTCCGGTCGAGAGTTTTATGCGGCTTTGTGCGGGTTCTGCCGTTTTCCGGTCGAGAGTTTTTATGCGGCTTTGTGCAGGTTCTGCCTCTTGCTTTTCCAGAAAAATGCCTTGGTGGTCCTTGGGGAGTGTTGCCTTTGCTTTGTTTGCCGCTTTGGTCGGGATTGCGCTGCTAGGGAACGAACTTGCAAGGGACCGGAAAATAACTGCCGCAAATGCCGTCCCGGCCCGGAAACACAATGCCCGCCACAACAAAATTGAAAATGAGTTTTTCGTTTTCGTATGTCTACGTGCTGCGGAACCACATTTGTTTCTGGAACTTTCGTTGCTCTGCGTATATTCTGTCCGTCAAACATTGACAGCAAAGCAAACGATACAGGAATCTATATCGCTGTTAGAACAATCAATTCTTATTTATCCTGTCCTTGAGGGGTTTAGGGTGAAGGGTTTCTGGGTTTAGGCTCTTGCAGGCTGGATGCAAAAACAGGGTTTCCGGGCCTGGGGGTGTAGGGTTTCTGGGTTCAGGGGTTCTGGGTTTCGGATGTCTGGGCAGAGCAATAATCAAGCCTGTGTAAAAAAGGGTTTCTGGGTTTAACAGTTAGGGTTTATGGGTTTCTTGGTTTACGGTTTCTGGGTTGCGGGCTTCAAGGGATTTAGGAGTTCTGGGTTTAGGGGTTTACTGGGGTGAGGGTTGCATGGGCGCTGGCCGGCACCTCAGTCCGTGCTGAAAGGGGTTTACTGTTAAGGGTTTGTTCAGGGTTTCAGGGTTCAGGGGTTCTGGGTTTGGGGGCTCAGGGTTAAGGAACTGTTAAGGATTTCTGGGCTGGGGCTGAGCGAGCGAAGGAGAGAGAGATGATGCAAAACTATTGCAGAGCCTCATCACGGACCTGTACCAGTTGTTGCGGCGTGGGGCCGGGGGGGGGGCGGTAAGGCGCTTTTCCAACACCCATACTGCCCTGGGGGGGAGATGGTGATGCCTTATTTGTATAGTGATATTCTAAGTGGAGGATGGAGGAAAGCCTCGACCATCCGAACAAGTCAAGGCTGGCGGCAGCAGGTCGCGACTCCTGTGACGAGCCGTCGGGGGCCGAGGACAGAGGCACATGGCAAGCTGTGGGCCGTCTCGAGACAGGCCCGGTGGCGTCTCCCAACCGATCGTGGAGGTCGGTTGCTTAGAACCTTTCGGATTCGAGCTGCAGCGGGGGGCATGGGAGGCCTTGTGGTCCGAAGACCTCGGAGAGCACCGTGGTCCGGCCTGGAAGGATTGCGGGCAAGGGGCAGCCTTGCCATGGTGGGAGTTGAAATTGAAGCCAGAAGACGATGCTGCTGCCGCTCCTGCAGCGACAGCTGTTTCTGCTGCTGATGATGCTAGTGACGCTGACGATGGTGATGGTCATCAGTCTGATGCCGCTTCTGCAGCTGCTGAAGAGGATGACACAGCTCATACTCATAATAGCATTGTAGCCGTATTATGCAATGTTAAGTTGGTGCGGACATATGTTTGTGCCAGCCTCGCAGTGCTGCACGATATGCCCCTCCCGCACACGAATGTGGAGGAGCTCCTCCTGGGTGGCATCAAACTCCAGCAGCGAGCTGGGACTCCCCAGGATGACTACGAGCCTTGCCGAGCAGTGGTGCGGAGACGGTCCGTTGCAAGTCTACACACACAGTACTCCATGGCATGGGCTCCGAACAAAGGAACAGCTTTGCAACCAGACGTCGCAGTTTGACTCGGCGATCAGGTGCAGCTGTAATAAGGTATCATTATAAGACTTGAAGCGGCTGTAGCATGAAAGGCAGGGTGTGGGATTGCCCAGCTCGTCAGGCGAGATGTACATCGTACGCTCCCGCAAGAGGAGCTCTTCCGCGAGCGTCAGGGGAAGGGTCAACAAGCGCTCTTCAGGCAGGGAAGCGGCAAGCATCCACTCGCTTCCTATCCCATCCGCTGGCATCTTGCCAGCCCGTAGCGTGCAGATTGCTTCGGGCGCTGGCCATCCGCCTCTGGGATGTCGGCTACTGTCCCTTGCCTGCAATAGCCTCTTTACTCCGCTTTCGCCGCATGTACATCACAGCGCACAACACTTCACGCATGCAGTATGTAGATTTTTACATGCACGCCCTGGGCGACGTGGAGAACCCAGAGTCTGCTCTGCAGAATCCCTGCGTGGTTGAACTTCCGTGGGCCTTTCGAAACTTCGGTTCGAGAGCGGTTTGGACGCACAGAGCTCGGTTCGACCACTTCCACAAGATCTCTAGGACTCGAGGAGCGGAACGGCATAGAAAGGCTTCACTCCCCGTTGTCCGGAAGAACATAAGTGGCGCGCGACGATGCCGAGGCCAAAGTCTTAACTTCATCGTGGCAACGCTTATTGGGGTGCGCCGCAAGATGGGAAGCACTGTGGATCCCTGCATGCTGTCAAGATTCGTAGTGCAAGCCGGTAAGCATGGCGAGATGTTCGTGGCACCGACGGAGCTTTGCTGTTGAAGTCCAAGAGGTCTTCCCCGATGACGAGGCGCTGGTATTCAACTGTTCTTTAGCCTTGCTGCTTCGGCATTCGCTGGTGGCTGCTTGCCTTGATGACTTCCTCCGGTTTCTGGTTTGTTGCCGGCGTCGGGCAGAAGTTGCCGATCAGATAAGTGTTCCCTATCTAAGGATCTGTACCGGCCGAAATTCCCAAAGCTTGGGGCACCTCGTCATTCACGTCCGCGAATGACCCTCTTGGAACCGACGGTTTGACAGAGCCGCACCTGACCTGTTCCTCCACAAGAACCGGGCATGTAGAGTGGTGACCTTCGGATGTGCGCACTTCAGGTCATCATCTGGCAGTTCGATCGCATCGTCGAGGGCTTTCTGCCAAAGGTCCACGACGCTCTAACAAAGCACGGTGTCAACTCCGAGTACTACGCCATCCAGTGGCAGCTTGGCCTCAGCTGGCCTTGAGCCACTCTCAGTCTGCGAGCATGTTGCAACATGTTGCAACAAAGGTTCCTCTCCCTCTTTGCCAGCGACTTGCCACAAAAGGTGGTGCGCCGGATCTGGGATAGCGGCCTGGCTGATCCTTTGAACTCTCCTGACAGAGCATCGGGTAGTGTTGGTTGGGCACACGCTCCCTCCCCAGAGATCCCCAGAGCAGGACCCCAGCTTTCGAAGGGTTAGACCACCCGGAATCCAGCTCGTTGTCGAACAATTGCAAGCCCAGGATTTCTGGTCGCGGGGTGGCGCATTATCGTCCAAGTTGGCCTGGCATTGTTGTACAGCATTCAGGACGAGTTGGGTGACATGGAAACGTTCCTAGACGGCAAGGCTTGTGCCAGGGACTGTGGATGGGTTTCGTCGCCATGCTCTTGCAGCTGAGGTGCTTTGCCCTGAGCTTCTTAAGGAAGTTTGCGCAGCTG